AACTCCCTGAGGGACTGAATTGCTGGGCAGAGGGCTGTGGGGACCATGGTCTCAGGGAACATCTAGCTCAATTGGCATAACATAGCTTATAAAGAAAATGTTGTACATTCTACCTTGGTGAGTCGTGTCTGGGGTCTTAAAACCCTGTGAGCATCCAAGATACTCCACTGGTCTCACTTATTCAGGAGTAAGGGAGAATGAAGAAAACAAGATCCAAGGGAAAGATTAGTCCAAAGGCCACAGCTATCATGACCTCCACCAGACTGAGTCCAGTACAACTAGATGGTGCCTGGCTACCACCACCGGCTGCTCTGACAGGGGTCACAACAGAGGGTCCTGGAAAAAGCTAGAGAAAAATGTAGAACAAAATTCTAACTCACAAGAAAAGACCAGACTTACTGACCTGACAGAGACTGGAGAAACCCTGAGAATGTGGCCCCCATATACACCATTTTAGCTCACTAATGAAGTCAGTCCGGTGGTTCACCCTTTAGCCAAAGATTAGACAGGCCCATAAAACAAAACGAGACTAATGGACCGCAACAGCCCAGGCACAAGGACTAGAAGGTAGGAGGGGACTGGAAAGCTGGTAATAGGAAACCCAAGGTTGAGAAGGGAGAGTGTTGACATGTCATGGGGATGTTAACCAACGTCGTAAAACAATATGTGTACTAACTGTTTAGTGAGAAACTACTTGTTCTGTAAACCTTCATCTAAAGTACAATAAAAATATAAAAATTTAAAAAATAAATAAAATAAAAACAATTTTAAAAAAAGACATTGCCTTAATCTCTTCTCTAGTAATCAGGGAAATACAAATTAGGACCAATATGAGAGTTAATTCCCTCATCAGATTGGAAAAGATTGATTGAATGGATAAAAGAATGATATCCTGGGGAACGGACGTATCTCTGCTCAAGTCAGGCTCTGGCGGCTTCCCTCGCCCCAAATCTGCTCACTTCCTAATGGCTCTGCCACAGCCACCACACCCATCACCATATTCCCTTCAGCAACACAATAAATGAAGTTCTATGTGTTCGCACAGTGGGATACTATACAGCCGTGAGAAGTGATGGTCTATCTGCAACTATAAGAAACAGGACAGATGAACCTCGTACATACAAGGCTCAGTGAAATAAACCAGACACAAAAGAATCCGTACTGTCTGATTGCATTTATCTAAATCACAGGAAGAAACAAAAGTGACATATAGTTAGAACTCAGGAGAGTGATCATCCTTGGGAAGAAACAGAGCAGGAAGAAAGGGGGCAGAAGGAGACTCCCAAGGGTCTGGAATTTTCTATTTCTTGATCCAGTGCTAGCCACATGGGGCTTTCACTTTGAGAAAACTTAGGGAATTGTGCACTTACAGTCTGTACTTTTATCTGTATGTACATTACACCTTAATTGAAAATTTCCTTAAAATAACTTATTTCAGGCAATGGTGCATGATAAGCTTTGAGATGCATGAAACAAACTACCAGAGAATTGTTGATATGTACATGTGTGTTTAGATTCATGGAGAAAGGTCTGGATGGGCATGCTCCACATGTGACAGGGACACTTTTGGGGAAGGGCATCAGGTAGGATAGGGTGTGGGGACTAGAGGAGATTTTCTGTCTTGCCACATTGATTATAAATGGCTTGAGTGTTTTACTGTTGTTGTTAGGTCCCATCAAGTCAGTTCTGACTAATAGTGACCCTGTGTACAACAGAACGAAACACTGCCCGGTCCTGTGCCGTCCTCACAATCGTTATGCTTGAGCCCATTGTTGCAGCCACTGCGTCAATCCATCTCGTTGAGGGTCTTCCTCTTTTTCGCTGACCCTCTACTTTGTCAAGCATGATGTCCTTCTTCAGGACTGGTCCCTCCTAATAATATGTCCTATGTATGTGAGACAAAATCTCTTGCCATCTTTGCTTCCAAGGAGCATTCTGCTTGTACTTCTTCTGAGTATTTTACTAGAAGCCTATTATTTGGTGCATCTGTATAAAATCTTTTAAAATATATGCAAGAATAGATTCTTGGTGGATTTTATTTCTGTGGTAACTAAAATACCCCAACATTATTTTTCAGGATTCACAGCTTCTACAGGGCCCAGTTGAAGTGCAAGGACACAGCCTAGACGACCTGAGCCCAGGGCCAGGTGGGACTCAGAGACCTGGGGAGAGGTCTCTCCTGGTGGGAGAGTCTTGGTCCATTGACTCCACAAGCGGCTCTCTCCTTCTGAGAGGCAGACTGGATGATTATCAGGGCACAAATGTACTGGGGCAGCCTTTCCTCAGCAGCTGAGCATCAGTATGACAGAGCAGGGGGCGAGGCTACTGCTCAAAAAGAGCAAAGTTACAAAGTCACACTCTAAGCTCCAGTGAGGGCCAGGGCACAGCAGAACAGAGAGGAGCGTTAGCTAGTCTGGGATGTGACTGCGCACAAGGGCTTCTCTAAGACAGGTGTCCTCAGGTCACTGTCAAGTGAGGTGTCTCATGCCAGGCCACCTTCTTGGATAGGAAAGTCTCCACAAATGGAAGGAAAAGCTGAAGTCCTGGATTCATGCTGGGGTGGAAGGACATGGAGAAATCGATTTGAGTAGTTAGAGTGGGACTGTGAGGGGGAGGGAAGAGGAAGCCTGAGAGAGAAGAAGAAAGTGAGAGAGGAGGGGAGGAAGGCACAGGATGGAGGAGGAAGATGAAACCCTGTGGGCAGATGGAGAGAAGCTAAAGAGCCTCAAGGGAGGAGAATGGAAGGGAGGGAAGGAGGAAAAAACCGAGGGAGAGGTGCACAAGGAGCAAAGTAGAGTTCAAAGGGTAGGGTGAGCCCAGGAAAGGGAGATGAGAGACTGCAGGGGGGCATAGAGAGAGAGAGAGAGCTCAAGTAAAAAGGAGGCTCTCCCAAGCAAGGCTGGGAGAACCAGTGAGGGGGTAACATGAGAACGAGGGAGGGCTGAGGGGGTGGTTCTCATCTTACCCCTAGGATGCCTTCAAGCTCCTGGGAAAGGAAGTCCACATTTGTATCCATTCCCAGCCAGGGCTCAAAGGGCTTTCCCTGGTGGCTCACAAAGTTTTTCTAGCAGTCTGCAAATTCTGCGTGAAAGAGCAGAGGGTAGGCTTCCAATGCAGGGAAATGGACTACACATCTCTCCAGGTGGAAGTCTCCCGAAGTCAGCTCCCCCTCACTGCCCCTCTCCAGTTCCTCATTCTCCCATGGAATGTCCTTTCCAACTGGACTCAGAATCCTGTCCCCTATGCTGCCAATAGTCCTGACACTAAATCCTCCCCAACAGCTCCCAGTGGCCCTTCCAGCCCAAATACTCCCCATGGGTCTTGCCGGGGCCTCGTCACTGATGCCCCTCAGGCCAGCTCACCCCCAGAAGTCACGACCCTGATATGGGCCCCAGCCTCCTGCAGGGCCCTCAGCCCCTGCCAACGTGCTCGTTTTTTGCTGTAATACAGGCGGGCCGCAAAGATCCTCAGGCTGACATTGTGGTGCTTCCCCAGGAATGTGGTCACTTCCTGGGCACATTCAGCACAAGGACTCCAGGAAGTGTACCAGGTGACTCGGTACTGCCTGTCCGCTTCCAGCTTCTCCTGAATGCTCCTGGAGGATAGGAACCAGATTTCCGCATGGCCAAATCCCTGAAGGTAAAGGAGAAGGGAGGACCAATAAGCAACATCACGATAAACAGAGAAAAGATTGAAGTTGTCAAGGATTTCATTTTACTGGCATCCACAATCAACTCCCATGAATCAGCAGTCAAGAAATCAAATGATGTATTGCATTGGGCAAATCTGCTGCAAAAGACCTCTTTAAAGGGTTCAAAAGCAGGGTGTCACTTTGAGGACTAAGGTGTGCCTGACCCAAGCCATGGTATTTTCAATGATCTCATATACATGTGAAAGCTGGACAGTGAATAAGGAAGACCAGATAAGAACTGATACCTTTGAGTTATGATGTTGGCAAGGAGTATTGAATATACCATGGACTGCCAGAAGAATGAACGAATATATCTTGAAAGAAGTACAACCAGAATGGTCCTTAGAAGCAAGGATGGCAAAACTTCATCTTATGTACTTTAGACATGTTATCAGGAGGGACCCATCCCTGGAGAAGGACATCATGCTTTGGTCAAGTAAACAGTCAGTGAAAAAGAGGAAGACCCTCAAGGAGATGGATTGACACAGTGGCTGCAACAATGGGCTCAAGCATAGCAATAATTGTGAGGATGGTGCAGGACCAGGCACTGTTTCGTTCTGTTGTATGCAGGGTCACCACAAGTTGGAACCGACTTAACAGCACCTGACAACCACAACAAAGGAGAAGGGAAGTGGGGGTGCTATAGGCTGGGTGATCATCAGGCTGGATGGAGGCTACCATGCTAAGTCTCTTCACTTCCCAGGAGGAAGGCATGGGCATCAATCAGTCATTCATTTATTCCCTCATTCATTCTTCAACAGTCCGCTGTACACCTACTCAGGGTCATGCCTGAACAGGAAGTTGAGATGAAAGGATGGACCATGGCCGGTCCTGCCCTCAAGGAGACCCCAGTCTGGGGGAGATAAACATGGACCACAGTGACCCTCCCTGTCTGCGATGTGATGTACTGCTTTTGTGTGACCTTTCTCACCATGCTCTTGCAACTCTCCTACCCAAGTGATTGGGTGGGACTGTGAAAATAGGGTAATTGTGGCCCACCAAGGGGATTGGTCAGTTTTGCCCTTCGGCAGGGCTTGAAATGAGCCGCCTCAAAGATGGGAAAGAGAGGATCCTACTGCCACCAAGGAAGAACAGCCAGGAGCGGAGAGTGTGTCCTTTGGACCCAGGATCCCTGCACTGAGAAGCTCCTGGAACCAGGCAACAGAGAGAGAGCTCAAGAAGCGGTGGCAGAGAAACAATGGCAAGAGTTGGCCTGGTGGGCTTCCCGGGCCATGGTGGGTGAAAGCTGAGTGCCTTTTGACAGGAGGCTTGCTGGTGGAGTAGAATGCCTATGGGCACTTATTGGCAGAGCGAAAAGAGCTCTGTAACACTTGCCTGAGCAGGGCAGAGGCCATGGGCCAGGGAGAGGCGTGCCTACGAGCACAGCTGGGAAGAGGCTGTACTGTTGGAAGTGTTACGGAATGTAATGGGTTCACCATTTGTGCTCTCAGTAATAATAACTAAGAGCCAAGTGGATTTAAAGCAAGGCATAGTTTATTACTCACAGCAAGTAAGGCGACAGGGGGATCAGTCCCAAAGCACTCTCTCCCCGAACAAAGGGCTGGAGGAAGTTTTGTACCCCATGGGAAAGGAGAAGTCATACATATTCTTTAACTTCATACATATTCGAAAAGAGATCGATCGGGGTAAGATTTGGCCCGGAAGTGGCTCACGGACTTCTCTCTTCTGAAATGGGCTCGGTCACTGCTCAATGACATATGTCTGGTGATTTTGATTTCTTGGCACGGGTCTTTTGGTTCTTTTTAAAAAAATTTTTTTTAATTGTACTTTAGGTGAAGGTTTACAGAACAAATAGTTTCTCATTCAACAGTTAGTACACATATTGTTTTATCACAATAGTTAACAACCCCACAACATGTCAACACTGTCCCTTCTCAACCTTGGGTTCCCTATTACCAGCTTTCCTGTCCCCTCCTGCCTTCTAGTCTGTGTCTAGACTGCTGTGCCCCATTAGTCTCATTTTGTTTTATGGGGCTGTCTAATCTTCGGCTGAAGGGTGAAGGGTGAACCTCAGGAAGGAGTTAAAAGGGTACCCGGGGGCCATACTCTCAGGGTTTCTCCAGTCTCTGTCAGGCCAGTAAGTCTGGTCTTTTTTTGTGAGTTATAATTTTGTTCTACATTTTTCTCCAGCTCTGTCTGGGACCCTCTGTTGTGATCCCGGTCAGAGCAGTAGCATCTTTTGGTTCTTAGGCAATACTTACTATGGGATGGGACCATCTGGCAGTCAACCTGGACTCTTACTGGGCATGCCCAGGATTCTAATTCTAATTGACTGATCTGAAAGATGGCTGCAAGCGGGAAGATTTTGAGGAAGCAGCTTAAACTTTAACCACGAGTGAAGTAAACAATATTTTTTGATTGACGCCATTCTTCTTCTAGAAAAATTTTTAACTGACATAACTTGTTGTTTAAGGCTTTTTCTGTCCCTAGTTGGTCTCAACTCTCCCCTGAAAAGTTCACACCCCTTATTTTTGAAGGGTTTAGAGATGGAGGTCTCTTTTTTAAACGATACTTCCTGTTGACATGGGGTGCAGGGGCCTAAAGTTTAGAGGAGTGGGATTCTCGCGCTGCCTGAGCTGAACTGTCATCTTCCCTGGGTCTCTAAAGCTCCCTCATAAGTTGTCTGTGTTTCTTCTTGAAGGGGAATGGGCTGGAATCCTTGAGCAACCATCATCTGAAGGTGGAACTTTTGTAATCTGGAGGAGACAAACTTGACAAGTAAATTAAACAGGTGAGGACCAAAAAGAAGTCCCAGCAGGATGGCAATTAGTGGACCACGCAATGGCAGAAACCAAGTAACTGAAGGGAGAAGGTTCTTCACAGCTTGAAACATGCACTTCTATTGCTGTCATGCCTGGTGTCATTTGAAAGATGATTACTTTGGTGTCTTTAGGTGTCAAGTAGGGTTTTGTCCGGGTGTTATTGTTAATGTATCCATATTCTACCAGTACTGGTTGTCCTAATTTTAGGGTTTGTTTTCTTGGGTTTTTAAATTTTCGAATGACACACCCAACAGTTGGTAAGTTTCAGTCCATTAGCTATTGCCCTTGAAGTGGAGACAACATAATTGTCTCTCCACCCATTGTCTCTTATTCGTTCTTTTTTTTTCTTTTGCTGGTCTCATAGGAGGGAAGACTCCCCACAATATAGAAAGGAGGAATAGTGAAGCCAATTTCCTTTTTCTTTTACTATTAAATTTGAGTATAAGTAGCAGCTATGAATACAAGAAAACTTAGTCAACCTATCAGAAACAATATCAGTACTATTATCTGGCTTATATTAAGTAGTTGGAGAGTGAAATGGTCTAACACTAATATGTCTATTAGTAGCAAAAGTGTAATAGCCCCGCTTATCACACTTAGAACCAACATTTAAAAGTAGTAATGTAGTCTTTTAATAGCAAGGGGCGTAGGGAGAGTCCGAGAACAGGAGTTCCACAGGCAATAGCTAAGATGAGAATCAACCACAGAATCAGGACAGAAAGAATTCTTAATATTTCTATACCACTCATTTTTATGATACATACCTACTGGTCGTTGTTCTGTCTTTTGAACATCACTTCAGTCTTTCAACTGGTTCACAGGTGCAGGAATCTGGATTCACAGGCGGTCCATCAGGGTCTTCTGGAGAAAGATTGGACTTGAGAATGATGGACCCACGGAGTAACTCCCTTTAGCCTGAGAGCAGAAGCAGTTGTTTTCTGGATTTTTCTGCTCAAAAGCAAATAACTTTTGGGAGTAGAGGTGCAAGGGTACACAGAAGAAAGCATCTTTTAAATCTAACACCGTAAAGTAAGTAGCAGTGGTGGGCACCTGAGTAAGCCAGGTATATGCGTGAGGGGCCAGTGGGTGAATAGTTACTACAGCCTCATTTACTGTTCTCAGATCTTCTATAAAGTGATACTCTCCATCAGGCTTCCTGACAGGTAAAATGGGAGTGCTGTAAGCAGACTGGCAAGGCTTCAATAAGCCCTTGTCTGTGGAGCTTTTCTAACACTGGTTTAATCCCAGCTCTCGCCTCTGGCTTAAGTGGATATTGCTTGCGCCAAGGAAGAGCAGCTCCAGGTTTTAGTTTAACCCAGGATTGGCATTTTTGGCCCTTCTTGGCTGGTTTACATTTCAGACTAATGGGTTCACTTTGGTTAAATATACTGAGGGATATTAGGTGTGCTTTGTGCAGAACCTCCTGTCTCAAGGAACGCTAGGAGTCCTGCCCCTTGACTTTAGTCTATTTCTATGGTTACTCGATCTCCAGAGGGGAAAACAGTAGCCTCTAGTTTACTTAATAGGTCCGTGCCAAGCAAAAGGACTGGACATTTAGGTATATATATATATATATATATATATATATATATATAGAAAAGAGTGAGATAGAGTACGTGTTCCCACCTCACATGCTAAAGGGAATGTAAACCTCTCAGTCTGCGGCTGTCTCGAGACTCCCATCATCACACAATCCTTTTTGGAGACCTTGCCAATAGGTTTGTTCAAGACAGAGTAGGCAGCTCCCATATCAAGTAAAAATTCGGTTTTTTTATCTGCCACATTGAAGGGAACCCGAAGTTTCGCAGGAGTGATGGAAATCAGCTGTCACTGTTCCACGGGAGCTGGGCGGTCCCCTGGGCCTTGTGACATTTGTAGTTTGAGGTCACAGTTGGGGTGGTGGTCAGGTCGTCCGGGCTGAGGACAGTCCAGACACTCCCTTTTCCAGTGTCCTTTCTTTTTGCAATATGCACACTGTTGGGGCCCCAGCTTTGCTGGTGGCCCTGAAGGGCGACTCTAAGGCCTGTATGATTGGGTACTTACCTGTGACAGTCCTGGTCCCCAGGGATTACCTTGAGGTGGTCCCTGAATAACTGCAGCCAACAACTGAGCCTTCTTTTCTATCTTTTTATCCATCTCCTCTTCCTCTGCCTGATCTA